CCCTCATGATCCAAAGGACATCTGGGGAGAGGAGACGGGTTTGCTGCTGACATTATACTTGAACCCGCTTCTTACCCTGTTTCCGTTCGGTATTCTGAAATCTGCAAAACCAGTGTGCTCCTTGTCCTTAATTGTAGCTGTTTGACTGAAGGTCATGAGCGCTGCTCTCCTGATGATTTGAGAAAGTTACTTTGGTTTTTTTTAAATAACCACTCATAGTGATATTATAGGCTAATTTCTTGCCTTCCCAGGGCCTAAAGTCAAGTGTCCTTTTTCTAATGCAAATGAACTTATTCTGCAAGTGGGACTTCTTCCCCTTGAAAGACAACCTCAGCCAATTCAGAATGTGGCATCTTTTCTCCTTACTTAAGTCTCTACTCTCTATCTTTCTTTCCTTCCCAAGCCCAGTTCTAGAGTATAAGAAGAGACTTGCTGGACCAAAGGTGTGTCTGGCCCAGCCTGCTGTTCACCACAGTGACCATGCAGATCTCCCTAGGAAGCCCACAGCCAGAGCCCTCACCCCCCAGCAGCACCCTTCCTGGGAACCTGGGAGCCTAATTCAGCTACTGGAGCTGAAAGCCAACAGCAAATTTCTCCTTCCCCATGAAATTTTCTAATCTCCCCCTAAAGCTATTGTAGCAAATGGCCATCAGAACATCTTGAGGCTAGGAGTTCCGTAGAGTGGGTTTTTGGAAGACGCCTTGCTTTATGTGTGGAGATCAGTGCACACTGATCAATGCACAGTCCTCACAGTAAGGTGCTATTCTGATGGCCTGAGTAACACAACAACTGGTAGTTTATCTGCTGCAGCCTTCATCTGCCTTCACAGTCGTTGTAACTTACCGCTTGTTATCTTCCACCTGTTTTGCTGTTGAGGACTTAATGGAGCATTCTTTGTCTTGTTTCTCTCCCTTGACCTTTCAGCTGTACTAATACGCCTATAAAGGGCAACTGAGCTCCTAAGTGAGCCTAATTTTTTTTTTCTGGGCTGACTTAAGAGAGGCTCTGACCACCCCCCATGTGGTCAAGCCATGGTCATCACTGTCTACGAATTTGGCACCGATGAGACTAGGCTGCTATTGAATATTTGATTGCGTGTGCGTCTGAAGCATCAAGGCTGCCCGCTCCTGTGGGCCATATTAACGCAACAAGATGGCGGCCATGCCAACTGGGCCCAGTGGGAGTTGTAGTCCAAAAGAGCTAGAGGACTACTGTTTGGGGAAGATTGCCTTAAAGCAGGTGTAGGGAACCTTCACTGGCCCACTGGCCAGATTTGGCCCACTAAGTCTCCCCATTTGGCCACTGAGGTGGTTTCCCCCAAACCATATGTGGCATCGAGGGTGGGGCAGGCAGAAAGCAAGCTTGAACTTTATGACTTCAGGTGACTGGCAGCTGCCTGGTCCTGTTGGACTGCAGAGTAGCGGGTGAGGAAATGAAGATCTGGTACTCTGGGTCAAAATGATTCACGAATCACCTTGAAATGCTTCCAGAATTCTGTAGGGCAGGGATGAGGAAACTGTAGCGGTGAAATTTCCTCAAAAAGGGTGTTTCTCCAGCTCTTTGCTCATTTTAGTTGCTCCTTTCTGCACCTCTACCCCCCCCCCCCGCACCAGTGTAGCCCTCCCAGGTCCAATGACCTACTGCGCCTGATATCTCCACCTTCTATGAATTTATCCCGATTCCCTACAAAAGTCAACTGAGCTGGTGGCTGTCATCATGTCTTCTTGGCAGCAAAATATGTGCTGCTGCAAAGAAATCCTTTTTTGTCTGCTCAGAACCTGCTGCTGGTAAATATCAGTTGCCAATTCTGCATTCTAGAGTTTGGAAGAAGGGATAAAAATGCACATTTTCCTTCCTTGAAACTCCACAATTCCATTTCTCCTTGAATTCTAAAATAATTTTGTTTTTGTTGGGTGAAAAAACAAAACATACAAAGCATGCATTTCACTTTTCTTCTTTTTCTTCTTCATGGTTGTAGCATGGTATTTAAAATAATCTCCCTCGATGGTAAATGCTGGATTTTGTGGGTATCCAAAAGGTCTCATTCATTTCAACAGAGCAGGAAAATTTTCCTCTTAATTAGGCTCCTAATGAAAAGAAAAAATGATAGTTGCAGGGAGTGTGAGTGTGTGAGAGAAAAGCAGAATTCTTTTTCGAAAGGTCTCTGACAAAATGAAATATAATTCTTTTGTTTGTGAGGAGGCGACGCTTTGTAGCCGGTTGCTGATGTACGTTGTAAATAATGTATATTTAATTTATTGCTACGGTAGCCTCTTGTATTTGTTATTGTATAAAACAAATTCTACAGAAAGGTCAGAAATGTATATTTTGTTGCTTAAATGTGTCTTTGCAAAATTCACAATTAAAATAAAATATTTTGTGTCTATCAGTGTCTTAGGTTTTTTGTTCATGCAGGTGTCACAGAGGGGAGGACAAAGGAAGAGGAAAACAGGTGTGTGTCACGGTGCTTAGCCCCACCCCCTGCCCCCAACATGGGCTGCAAGCCCCGCCCCCCTGCCCCCCACTTTCTGGCCAACATGGGAAGATCTCACCAAAATCCCATTCAGGGCCAGATTTAGGTTTGATGAGGCCCTAAGCTACTGAAGATAATGGGGCCCTTTATATGTCCAGCTGTCCATTGCCAACAACAAATTGCCACTTTTTTGTGTGTTGAATATATGCTGTATATGACACCTTTCTGCAGAGCCTGCAAGATAGAACTGTTCTGCCAGGCCTTTGGTTGGGTCCCAGTCTGACCCTCCTCTCCTTATAAGACCCTGCATGTAAGTGGTCTCCCTAACTCTTCCCACTAGTTCATAGAAGACCAGCACAAATAGCTAAGACTTGCACAAATAACACAAATGGGAAGAGGTGGGGCCTGGTGAGCACTTAATGCTCCTAACCCCTATAGTTATAATTTGTGGGTTGCAATCTGATTTTATTCTGATCTTAATTTAATTTTAAGCTGTATTTTAATCAATTGTTTGATTTTATGTTTTTAATGTATTATATATTTTGATGTTAGCCACCTTGAGCCTGGTCCTGTCTGGGGAGATCGTGGTATAAATATATTATTATTTATTTATCATATCCCGCTGTTGGAAACTTTCTCCCAGAGTTGAGCTGATATCTGCTTCCCTCCAGTTTCCATCCATTTCTAATAACTGCCTTCTGGAGTAGTAGTAATAGTAATAATAATAATAATAATAATAATAATAATAATAGTAATTATTATTATTATTATTATTATTATTACTTATACCCCACCCATCTGGCTGGGCCTCCCCAGCCTCTCTGGGCAGCTCCCGCAGAATATTAAAAACACGATCAAACATTAAAAGCTTCCCTAACTTCCCTAAACGGGCTGCCTTCAGATGTCTTCGAAAAGTCAGATAGTTGCTTATTTCCTTGACATCTGATGGGAGGGTGTTCCACAGGGTGGGTGCCACTACCGAGAAGTCCCTCTGCCTGGTTCCCTGTAACCTCACAGTGAGGGAACTGCCAGAAGGCCCTCGGAGCTGGACCTCAGTGTCCGGGCTGAACGATGGGGGTGGAGACACTCCTTCAGGTATGCTGGGCTGAGGTCATTTAGGGCTTTAAAGGCCAGCACCAACACTTTGAACTGTGTTTGAAACAACAGAGTAACAGAGAACAGGTCCCATGATATGACATTGGAAGGTGGTGGATTCTTCATCACTGAAGGTTTTTAAACGCAGGTTGCGGGGGGCTTGTGTAAGGATTTCTTTAGCTGTGATTCTTCCATTGCAGAGGGTTGGACTAGATGACCCTTGGAGTCCCTTCCAATCTTGCAATTCTATGATTCTAAGAGGATAACTCAACAAATACGACACCCCCCTCCGAATGATTGGCCAATATTGATGTGGACTTTAACAGCAAAAGGAAATGGGGTAGAGGAATGAAAACATTGTCTCGTACACTCCTATGAGCGGTACAATCAAAGAAAATACACACCACCTGAGTCCTTAGGATGAAGTTTGACACACAGATGATAGAGCAGCCCAGTTGGACATGTTTGCATGGCAACTTAAAGCACACATTGAACGTCTTATGCTGGGGAGAAAGACTTTACATTGTAGATGCTCTTGGGCTCCCAACTCCCATCAGCCCCAGAAGATTGCCAGCCAGTAAGAATTGCTGCCTTCATTTCATCCTGCATCTGAATCTGTGGGGGAATCTGAATTAGATTTCTCTCCCCATCCCCATTCTCCACTTCTCATTTCATCTTCGCAAAGCTCCCATTTGAATCCTGTTTGTCGATCCAATTTTGTTTCCATCAGCAGTGTCTCATACTGCCACCTGGTGGCCCCTCAAGGTCTTGTTCTCACTGGCAGCCGATGCGTTTTTCAGACTTAAATCCAGAGCTTGCATAAAATGGAATGTGATTCCTATACTTGGAAGGAGCCCAGGACCTCCATACATACTGCAGAGACTTGCATCCCAGAGGGGTCACTTTGGTGCTGTCGACACAGCAGAAGCAACGTAGGAGACAGCAGATACGAGTTACCGGTCTCTGCAGCCACAGCAGGCGCTGTGATTCTCCAGCTGTGATTTAACTTCACACCCAGAGGCATACTCCATTGTTTCTCAAGACAAATGGATGCCAACAATAACAGACTCTGTATTGATACAGGTTGTAGCTCTGGGCTAATTAGGTGCCAGATCAAAGGGGAAGGGGGCACTAATGTTTGGCATGGTATAACATTCAGTAATGCGAGTGTAGCCAGAAATAGTTCAGCCAAAACACACCTCTTTCCATTTGCCATTTCTGAGACTGGAACTTAACCCTTATTTCATATCAGACGCAGATGGCAGAATTGTGTTTGTGTGTGTACACACAGCAGGAGCGGCACAGGCTTTAAGAATATGAACATCTGCTGAACTATGTAAAAGGCTCCAGAATGATAAATATTCACACCCATGCTTTATATATCATAACACTGGCTATGATTTTATATACAAAATTAGGGGGCGGGAAGGGAGGGGGAACAGCTGAAAACCCAACAAAAGGGACCTCTTCAGAAAACTCTCTGAGCCACTGAATACTGTTAAGATATCAGCTTTGTTGAGAGAGAGTGAGGGACGAGTCATCAACGACTGGAAAAAATAATAATCAAATTTTATTCCCAGTATAGCATTTTTTAAAAGAAATTAGAAAAGTGTTCTTGATAGCATAAAAGTGGTTTTTTTTTGGGGGGGGGGGGGGAGAACCTAAAGGAAAAATGCTACATTATCAGTTATATGAATACTATAGATATATGCACATATAAGTAAACAGATATATAAATATCCAAGAAATATGTACTGGATCAATATGAGAAAGGTTACAGAGCACCAGTTTGCATGTAAACAATCAAGGTTCAGCTCAAACATGGGGAGGAACTGAATTCTGCAGAGAAAATTCCATTTACAAATTCAGCGCAATCAGGTCATTTTCAGGCATCGACCTGCAGTGATTCTCTCTTTTCCCTTCAGTGTAAATACAAGACAAAGTTTGCTCTCGCACCATGAAATGTAGTTGCTCAGGGCTCCTTCTGGAAATCCTAACCAGGCTTCTGCAGAAGCCTAGCCAACACAAAGTGCTGTAGCCAACTAAATTTTACTTACAGCAGACCCTTTAAAACGAATTGGCCCAAGTTCATCATGCCTATACTTTTCAATAGGTCTACCAGGAGTAGTATTGGCTGCAGCCCAGAATCACATTTGCAGAGAACAGGCGCATTTGAGACAGAAATCTGCCCCATCGAGAATCCTTGCTGCAAGCATTGGTTCCGAACAGGGTGGGAAATTTTCCATACCATTTCCAAGACCAACTGCTCTCCAGGGGAATTGATTGTATAATTGTTTCATTTCACTGGAAAAGCAGGGTTTAAATTATTTTTAAAAACAGAGCATTTGTATCAACGCATCTAAGCCAGAAAGGCTGAATACACACACACACACACACACACACACACACACACACACAATGTCCTTTGGAACAGCCGCAAGTACAGATTCCCCTCTTTTCTCGACACGGTGGTCTGGCTTATGAATGCACTGACAAGCAGTGGAAAGAAAATGGAATGCACCAATAACCAGAAAAGGGGTGAAAGAGGGAGATGGGTGTCTTAGAGGAGCATGGGAATAAAGATGACCTTCTGAACATGGCTGCCACAGGGGCACCCTGAGACCTCAGTCCAACCTTTGCCAACCTGGTCCCCTCCAGATGTGTTGGACTACAGCTGTCCCATTGCACCAGAGTGGTGCAGGCTGCCTTGTTCTGTTTTCCTGGTGGAGGATGTCATGTTGCACAAGGAAGTCCTTCCGGGGGAAGACATTTTTAGAGCATGCCAGGCCATTAAAACCTTATTGCTTCTGAGACACTGTCTTTCCCCTTTCTTCTTCTTCCTGCATTAAGGCACGTCAACCACCACAGCTGGCTGCTGCTGAATAGAAGGAAGAGCTTTTTGGAAGCTGATGTAGAAGAACTGGGGACCTGTTTTGAATCCCAAAAATTCCCAATGACCCTGTACAGGAGGCTGATGTTGGGCCCCAGCCAATGAGTGAGGGATTGTGGGAGTTGTAGTCTAATATCATTTATAAGCTTGGGATATGTAAAGCTTTGGGCTGGATCAGAGATTGGTCCAATAACAATATTATCATTATCCAGAGGTGATGGCCTACAGCTCAGTTCACCCCTAACCAGTGTCCATGCTGCCTGGGGCTGATGGAAACCAGTGTCCAAAACATCTGGAAGGCCACAGGTTTCCCTCAGCCCTGACCCAGACCAGTGCAGGCTATTAAAACATCTGGCTGGGGGCAGTAGCAGTCATGGTGGTGGGAAAAAAGATGCTTCCTTCCCTTCGAACTGGTGAAGCAAAACTGTGAAGGTGGAAAACCTTGTACCACCAAGACCAGGGTATCCCAAACTTGAACCTCCAGCTGTTTTTGGGCTACAATTCCCATCAACCCTGACTGCTGGTCTCAATAGCTAGGGATGATGGGAGTTGTAGTCCAAAAACAGCTGGAGACCCAAGTTTGGGAAACCCTGATTCGCACAAAGGGATGGTCCTGTGGATCTCTGGAGACTGCGGCCTAGTCTTTTGTCCCCAAAGGTTGGGTCATACCAACGTTACTTGGGCTTTTTCCACTGCTCTGCTGGGCTGCCGGCTTTCCCCATCCTCCATTCGCAAATGCCGGCGTAGGCACAATAGCGGCACTTCCAGGCGTCCTCGACATCCACCCCTCGGGAGTCCCGCTGCCCTTTCCAGTAGGCCAAGAAATACCGCACTGCGGCTCCAACCTCATCCTGGTCATAGGCCAAGACCTCCGTGCCAAGTGCGGCGCCGGAATCCTGGTGGACGTACTCAATTTGCAAACGGTCGATGGCGGGGATCTCACAGTGTGTCAGGTTGAGGGAGAGCAGATCCAGGAGGTCCCGGAAGTGGCTCACCGTGAAACCCGACTTCCGGGCCTGATCCTGGACGTGGGGGCCAAGTGGCTGCTCGGGCCTCAGGTGGAGTCGCTGGAGGAAACTGTCCGGCGTCAGGCACCCTCGCACCATGGCGTCAAAGAGATACTTATACAGAAAGACCTGGAAATAATACCAACGATGCATATGGTAAGACAACAGACACCCGACAGCCTACTCACTTAATTCGGGTGCGTTATTTACAAAAGCATTTGCCTGCACCGGCCTCTCACAAAACAGCAAAGCAGTGTATAGCAATAGAAAATCGTTTCAGAGTTCCCTGTGAAAAGGGATTGGCTATCAAACCACTCTGCAAGTTCTGCGAGGGGGATAGGAGCTTCCTAGCAAGTGGATAGCTCAGCAGGTTAGAGCGTGGTGCCAATAACGCCAAGGTGGCAGGTTCAATCCCCGTATGGGACAGCTGCATATCCCTGCTTTGCAGGGGATAGGACTAGATGATCCTCAGCTCTACAATCTATGGGCTAACTCTCAGCACTCTAAACAAACTACAGCTCCCAGAATTCTCTGGGGGAAGCCATATTTGTTGAAAGGGGTATCATAGTGCTTTTAAATGTACAGTGGTACATCGGGTTACATATGCTTCAGGTTACAGAATCCGCTAACCCAGAAATAGTACCTCGGGTTAAGAACTTTGCTTCAGGATGAGAATAGAAATTGTGCAGTGGCTGCATGGCGGCAGCGGGAAGCCCCATTAGCTAAAGTGGTACCTCAGGTTAAGAACAGTTTCAGGTTAAGAACGGACCTCCGGAACGAATTAAGTACTTAACCCGAGGTAGCACTGTATGGTGTAGATGTGTCCTGAACTATCCTGACTGGTGGCAGCTCCCCAGGGTCTCAGAAATGATCTTTCCCAGAACAGTGGTACCTCAGGTTACAGACGCTTCAGGTTACAGCCTCCGCTAACCCAGAAATAGTACCTCAGGTTAAGAACTTTGCTTCAGGATGAGAACAGAAATCGGGCGGTGGTGGTGTGGCGGCAGCGGGAGGCCCCATTAGCTAAAGTGGTACCTCAGGTTAAGAACAGTTTTCGGTTAAGAACGGACCTGCGGAATGAATTAAGTTCTTAACCCGAGGTACCACTGTACTGGAGGCCAGCCCACTGGCCAAATGGGGCACTGCCCCGCAAACCTCAGCTTGCACTCAGCCAGCCCCCACCTGCCTGCCTTCTCACTAATAACCAGTACAGAGGTGGCCCTGCCTATCACCTTCCTCCTCCGTCTCTGTGTTGCCCTTGTAGAACTCAACAAAACTGGCATCAGTTGGCTCTGGCGCCACCTACTGTTGGGCTCCTTTCCTTCCACCCAACCAGTCCTAACGAGTGCCAGCCAACACTCTTCCTCATGAATTGAACCTGGGATGTCCTGTGTGCAAAGCAGGAGCTCTGCCACGGGCAGTCACATGGCACAGCTGCACCTGGCTTGGCAACTCGCAAGCTAGGCAGATGCCTCCTGCAGCCAGCGGCTCGTTGGCTCACCTGAAAACGATCTCGCTTTTTCTGTGCTGCTGAGGGCATGGAGGCATTGTTTCGGGTCTTCAGCTCATTCAGTTCCAGCTCTCCTTTGGGTGTATAACCCAGCTGATCAATGACGCCAACCACAAAGATGTTTTCCAGCACTCCAAACACTGGAAATTCTCGCACACGGTGACCTGCAGTGAAAGAGGATGCAATATATTAGATCATCATCATTTTATTTGTAGGCCGCCTCTCCATAGTCGAAATCCCCATGCCCGAGGCGGCTCACAACATGACAAGATTTATACAACTGCAAACATAACGTCATAAACAATAAATAAAACTCATCAAAAAGTACACAACCAAATGGAAACAATCTCCATATATTTGGAGAATGGAGAATTTAAGGACTATATAAGATCATATTGTACCAACCATACCATATTAGCAGGACTTGAGTGATACTTGTAAACAAGACAAATACCGTTTGTGGAGTAGACGGGAACAATATTAAAGAATATAAAACTGTGCGGGAAAAAACGACAGTATAAACAGTAATAATAATTTATGATTTATACCCCGCCCATCTGGCTGAGTTTCCCCAGCCACTCTGGGCGGCTTCCAATCAAGTGTTAAAAACAATACAGCATTAATACAGTACAATGAGAATGATTGGAAGACTCGTTTTGTCAGAAGTCTTTTTTATTTAAGAGTTTACTTAAATTAATTAGGAAGATTAAGTTTTTTTAGGCATGTAAATCTGCATTTTCTTCTTTCTTTTTTCTGTATTTTCTTCTTTTTTAATTGTTTTTTCTTTAATTTTCTTTTTGTGGTATGAGATTGTAAATTCTTTGTATGTAATTTAAATTAATAAAGATTATTAAAAAAAGGAAACAATCTCCATATAAATCACAAGACCCAAAACCAAAGATACAACATCAATATCAGTGTCAGCATATCTATATCTAGTATAGCCCCAGAGTAATATGGGAGGCTCATTGACTCAAGGAAAACCCCCATACCTTCCTGCAGCACCGAAAGCATTCCCAGAAGATTCAGCACTTTTATCGCCCAGGAATCTTCTCGACTTGTGGTGCTGACTGTCACCAGGTCATGGTCTTCCAGCTCTGTGTTGAAAACAAGGACAGCAGAAGAGAAAGATGAGCCCAGTGGATGCTGGTCCATGTGGGAAAGTGGGGTACTGCCCCATCAACCTCCATCTTTTTTCACTACACCGGACTCCTTACTAGTGGGGTAGGAGAGCTAAAAAGAATTCACCTGTGGCAAACAATGCCCCCCTTTGGTTTCAGACAGGACATGGGGAGACGAGTCTAAAAAGCCCAGGCCACACATTTCCACAGCCCTCTAGTGGCTCATTCACCAGAAGTAGTGTATTTAGCGTTAACTCTGGAAACGTACACTCAATTCTGACCAAACTAAGCCTCTTGATGTGTATTGTGGTCTTCGTTCAGAATCAAGCGTACACTTCCAGAGTTAACACCCAGTTAACACACCACCCAGGCTTGCACCCTGGGGAGGTCACCTGGGTGAGGTTTGACTTCACCCCTGGAGGTGTACTCCATTGTCTCTCGAGACAGACGGATGCCAACAAGACCTCCACTGTGAGATGCATTATGCCCCTGAACACCAATCGCTGGGAACCGCAGAAGGGGAGAATTATATTTTGTTTGGGTCCTGCCTGCAGGCTTTCCGCAAGCGTCTGGTCGGCCACTGTGAGAACAGGATGCTGGACTAGATGAGCCATCGGCCTGATCCACTAAATCAGAACTTTGTGCTGCAGAAAAACATGTTTTGAAGAAGCAGGGGATGGATTGCAAAGCACCCTTACCTCTGGCGAGGTGAATGCTCTTTCCTGTGTTCAACAGCACAATATTTTCAGGAGGCGTCAGGTCTGGACGCTCTCGCCTGTAAACCATTTGCTGTTCGCACCACACCTGCGCGGATATATCCGTGACCGAAAGGTAACGCAGGTGGAAGATTTCGAGCGGCACATGCGATCGCTTTCTTTTCGCTGTTTCAAGTACGTTCCCTTTCGCCACATCACCACCCTCAGATTCTGTAGGAGGGCCAAGGGAACAACTTGGCTTTTCAGAATCCCTGGTTGAATGAAAGACAAGGTTATTTTAAAAGTCATTACAGTGGTACCTAGGGTTAAGAACTTAATTCATTAATGGGGCCTCCTCCAGCCGCCGTGCCGCCGGAGCACAATTTCTGAAGCGTCTGTAACCTGAGGTACCACTGTACTATGTTTACTTGCCAAGTTATATTTTTTAATATATCTAAGGAAATCAATAATACAGTGGTATCTCGGGTTACATACGCTTCAGGTTACATATGCTTCAGGTTACAGACTCCGCTAACCCAGAAATAGTACCTCGGGTTAAGAACTTTGGTTCAGGATGAGAACAGAAATCGTGCTCCAGCGGTGCGGCGGCAGCAGGAGGCCCCATTTGCTAAAGTGGTACCTCAGGTTAAGAACAGTTTCAGGTTAAGAACGGACCTCCAGAACGAATTAAGTTCTTAACCCGAGGTACCACTGTATCTGTCCCCACCCCTGCAAGCGTTATCTGTTTATTTCATTTCCTCTGAGGAGTTCAGGGCGGTGTACATACTTCTTCCCATTTTACCCTCACAACAACCCAGTGAAGAAGTTTTGGTTGAGAGGGCGGTGACTGGCCCAAGGTCACCCCATGAGCTTTGTGGCTGAGTGAGGATTTGAACCCTGGTCTTCCAAGGCCTTGGTCCAGAACTCTAGCCACTATGCCACCCTGGATTTTCCCCAGCTTCCAGCAACAAGGCAAGTCTTTATAATATTCATATTCAGCTCCTCCTATGTTATTTTGCCATCATTGTGTGGAAGCATCCATCAACAACAAGGTCATCTTCTCCAGATAAGGTAAGTACGCATGGTCACAAAATCCAAGTTTTAGTGATGTGTCTGACAGCATATTTTGTCAATCCTTTTCACTAGCATATAAAACAAATAGACCCTTTATGGCATAAAAGGCATTCGTTTCTCTCTCTCTTTCCTTTCAGCACCATTACATTGTGGGTTATCTTCTCAGTAACACCCAACCTCCATGCAGTTTTACACCAAAAATCTATTTCCAAACTCAACCGATAGTCTTGCTGCGGCAAGCAAAAGTATCAGCTTGCCTTACCAAACGTAGACCTTTCTAAGAGTTATAAAGTACCCTCAGCTGTGGGGTAAAATCAAATTGTTCTTGTGTAATGGTCACTTCTTTAGATACGATGGACTTCCATTTCATGCGGCTCAATGCGGTGCCTTCCATGGTTCTAGATTCAGGTAGGTAGCCGTGTTGGTCTGAGGCAGTAGAAATATATATAAAAAATAAAAAAATGTCCACTAGCACCTTAGAGGCCAACTAAATTTGCTATTGGTATGAGCTTTCGTGTGCATGCACACTTCTTCAGATACAGTGGTACCTCGGGTTAAGAACTTAATTCGTTCTGGAGGTCCGTTCTTAACCTGAAACTGTCCTTAACTTGAAGCACCACTTTAGCTGATGGGGCCTCCCACTGCTGCCGCGCCACTGGAGCACGATTTCTGTTCTCATTCTGAAGCAAAGTTCTTAATCTGAGGTAATATTTCTGGGTTAGCGGAGTCTGTAACCTGAAGCGTCTGTAACCCAAGGTACCACTGTACCTGAATACACGAAAGCTCATACCAAGAACAAACTTAGTTGGTCTCTAAGGTGCTACTGGGCTTTTAAAATTTATATATATATATTTCAACTGCGTCAGACCAACACGGCTACCTACCTGATTCTTGTGTAATGTTAGACATAGCACAGTATGGCACGGCTGCATGTTCCTGCGTTGCCAGGGGGTTGGACTAGATGATCCTCGGGGAGCCTTCAGACCCTACAATTTTATGAGTCTATGATGACACTAACCCCGCAAGCAAACCTCGTGGAGACCCGGCGGAAGCGGGTGGTAGTTTTGGAACTGCGGATGCGGAGGTTGTCAGACGCAAAATGCAGGGGGAAGGAGGCGCCTGCTTACCCAGCCTCTGGCTCCTCGATTTGCAGGAATTCGGAGTCGCTCAGATCGGAGAAGCCAGACGCCGTTTCAGCTTCCTCCAATCCGGAGTCACGCCCGGACATGACTTTTTCCCGGGCTTGCCGCTGCTGCTATTGCAAAACAGCCATTCTTCGCCGCGGAAGCACCTAGGAGGCGGAGTCGGTGACGTAGCTCGAGGGATCCCCTCCCTTCCATTCAGTAAGAAGCGACGGCCCTTAGCCATAGATTTAGGAAGAAAAATAGAGCAGTGCACTCTCCCCTTACTCCAGAGACTACTACAGCCTTTCTTAATAAGAATATTTTTTGCTGTTGATCCAGTGCTTTTTTCTGGGGGGACGCAGGGGTACCCCCCTAAACACTTTGTGAATCTAAGTTTGGCTTTATTGTAGGGCAGTATTTCAATATGAGTAGGAAAATGAGAGTACCCTTTAAAAAAAATTAAGAAAAAAAAGCACTGTGTTGATCTATCAGGGGTTGGAGGGATGCTGGGGAACAGATCCCGCAAGACTGAAGATTTTTAAGAGTTGCAGGAGAAAACAATCTTGTTCCCTCTTCCCATCTGACAGATCTTTAGGTCCGTATAGTTAAAGCTATCCCAGTAGTGATGTATGGAAGTAAGAGCTGGACCATAAAGAAGGCTGATTGCCGAAGAATTGATGCTTTTGAATTATGGTGCTGGAGGAGACTCTTGAGAGTCCCATGGACTGCAAGAAGATCAAACCTATCCATTCTGAAGGAGATCAGCCCTGAGTGCTCACTGGAAGGACAGATCCTGAAGCTGAGGCTCCAATACTTTGGCCACCTCATGAGAAGAGAAGACTCCCTGGAAAAGACCCTGATGCTGGGAAAGATTGAGGGCACAAGGAGAAGGGGACGACAGAGGACGAGATGGTTGGACAGTGTTCTTGAAGCTACCAGCATGAGTTTGATCCAACTGCGGGAGGCAGTGGAAGACAGAAGTGCCTGGCGTGCTCTGGTCCATGGGGGTCATGAAAAGTCAGACACGACTAAACAACAGCAATCCTATCTCCTCTCAGTCTCCTCTTCCCCAGACGGAAACCTTCCCAACTCCTTCAACTGTTTCTCATAAGGTTTGGTTTCATAGCTAGTGTTGCTTTTTTTTGTATCAGCTTAAGGCAAGGAAAAAAATAATAATGCCATCAAACGTCACTAAGAAGAAGTCCCACTTTTCAACGAAGGAATGTCAGTCTGTCGCTGTATCTCTGCGTTCTTGGAGGCGGCGCACTTTGCTGGCTTGGAGGATTTGCATATTCTTTTGAATGGTCCTTTCCTCCAATGCGAACTGTTTTCGAGCCCCGCGAAAGAGTACTCCCGGTTCTCAGGGAACCAGAGTATCGATGCAGTTTTAAGAGAAGGTTATAAAATAAATGGAGGATTTCTCTACTGTTATTAGCGGGAAGCCATTCTCAGCCCAGTTGGTGGAGGGGAAAAAGAAGTGTATTTTACCTTTTACAGTAGGCTAGTTTCTACTAGGGCTGTGCACGCACGGACCCTTCACCCCAAAAGCCCTCTGACCCCCAGATTGGGCCAGTTTAGCCTTGTGCTGCCCCGGGGTCCTCCCACGCCACCCCGCATCCACCCCTGAAGGAATCCCAGGATGGGGCTAGAGGTGTGTGTTTCAAGCCCACTTTAACATAAAATAAAAATGGGGATTTAAAAAAATGTTGGGCTGCATGCCGTGGCACAACTGCACAGGATCAGAACCTCCTTTTCGTTAGGTTATGATCTGATTACCTGTTTATAAATATTAGAAGTAAGTTTTTTTAAAGTATGGAGATAAGGTAAATAGGGTGATTTAGAAATGCTAAGATAAAAGTGATTACATATGGAAGTCAAGGGAGGGGGACGGGAGGAAGTCAAAGCTCAATTTGAGCAAAGATATATGTGATGAAGAAATTTTATTTGGTTGTTATAAAGGATTTTTTTAAAAAAATAAATATTATACACACACACACACACACACACACACACATATATATATATAGGATCAGAACCTCCTGCATACCAGTTGATAACTGAGAGGATCTGATCCTGCACTGTGCAGGTCACTTGCTCCTTCACCATCTGCAACGTCAACCAGCTTGACAGGATCCGATCCCGTGTTTAACCTTTAGCCGAAAGGCGTTCAGACTGAGACTTGGTATAAAAACAGCTTGTGTTTATAAAGGAAGCACGTTCTTCTTATTTATTAATTGCATTTGTAGCAGCACCTTTTTCTCCAAGGAGCTCAAGGTGGCGGACGTGGTTTCCCCCTTTCTCATGTAATCCCCACAACAACCCTTTGAGGTAGGTTAGACTTAGAGGTTGGTGACTGGGCCAAGGTCATCCAGTTGGCTTCAGGACCGAGTGAGATTATGAACCCTGCCCTCCCCCCCCCGGGTCCTAGGCAAGCTCTCTTAACCAGTAAACCACACTGGTTCTCTTCTTGGTAGGAAATAGTTCTGCAGTCCTAGCTACCTATTTAGATAGAGAAACAGAGAAGCCATGCTTGCCTCTTTGTTCGCGGAAGGACAGTCTTGCCTCAAGGCCCAGAGAAAGAAGCTTCCTTATGTAGAACAGATGTCCCTATTTTCATCTGGGGAATATGGGAGGGTATGCAAACCATACCAGTGTTTAGTCAGATCCACGTTATCAGACCCTCCTAGTGTCCCTATTTTCCAGGGACATCCCTGATTTAGAGGCACTGTCCCAGTTTCTGATTTGATCCCGGAAAGTCCCGGTTTTCCTTAAAAAGGTAAAGGGACCCCTGACCATTAGGTTCAGTCGTGGCCGGCTCTGGGGTTGTGGTGCTCATCTCGCGTTATTGGCCAAGGGAGCCGGCGTACAGCTTCCGGGTCTTGTGGCCAGCATGACTAAGCCGCTTCTGGCAAACCAGAACCAAACCAGCGCACGGAAATGCTGTTTACCTTCCCGCCAGAGCGGTACCTATTTATCTACTTGCACTTTGAGGTGCTTTCGAACTGCTAGGTTGGCAGGAGCAGGGACCGAGCAACGGGAGCTCACCCTGTCGCAGGGATTCAAACCGCCGACCTTCTGATCGGCATGTCCTAGGCTCTGTGGTTTAACCCACAGCACCACCTGCGTCCCTTAGGATGCGGTTTTTCTTAGGATGTCCCTATTTTCATTGTAGAAATGTTGGAAGGTACGGAGTTATCTGACCCCCGAGCCATCTGAAGGCAATCTTGTATAGAGGAGGGTCCTCCCCCCCAATGTTTAATGTTTCATTATGTTTTTATATGTATTTTGGAAGCTGCCCAGAGTGGCTGGGTCAACCCAGTAACGTGTGGGGTATAAATAGTAAAATTATCATTATGGAATGGGACGTCCCTATTTTCATCGGAGAAATGTTGGAGGGTATGCGTTACGACTGTCTATAGAGGGTGGTGCTGTGGACTAAACCACTGAGCCTCTTGGGCTTGCCAATCAGAAAGTCGGTGGTTCGAATCCTTGCGACGGGGTGAGCTCCCGTCGCTCTGTCCCAGCTCCTGCCAACCTAGCAGTTCGAAAGCATGCCAGTGCAAGTAGATAAATAGGTACCACTGCGCGGGAAGGTAAACAGTGTTTCCGTGCACACTGGTTTCTGTCACGGTGTCCCGTTGTGCCAGACGCGGTTTAGTCATGCTGGCCACATGACCAGGAAAGCTGTCTGTGGACCAATGCCGGCTCCCTTGGCCTATAAAGCGAGATGAGCGCCGCAACCCCATAATCACCTTTGACTGGACTTAACCGTCCAGGGGTCCTTTACCTTTTTTACCTTTATGACTGTCTAGTAAGGCGTGTTAGATTTTTTCACTTTCAAATTCCTAAAACTAAGGAGTGTGTTATGTACTAAGTTGAAAGGATCCAAAAGGCAGCAGTCCGATTGGTCCTAGAACAATAGGATTCAGAGTGCAGCAGTCTGATTGGTCCACAGGAGCCACCCAATCCAGCTCCAGGTGGAAGTGAATCCGCAACCTGATTGGCCTACAGGAGAATCCCGGAATTAGCCAATCACGTGGGGCCCATTGTGTAAATAATGTATATAAAGCAGACATTCTGGGGGAACTTCCATCCCTCCTCACCACTATGAGCTGAATAAAGAGCATGAAATCCACTCTCGACCCCGGGTATATTTCAGAGTGCTACATATTCCAGCCAGTCAAAAACAACCAAGGTGGTGCAAACCAGGGCCAGTAATTGGGGTGTTCTTGGGAGAAGGAGTGTGACATGGCGAGAGCACCGAGGGCCAGATACAAGCACTGCATCCGGCCCCCCAAGCCTGAAGTAACAGAAGATGGAGTGTGCTTGCGCTACAACAGCAGAATCAACAATGTCAATACAACGTGCTGTGGGTTCCAGATGGCATCGAACCCATGGACGTAGGATAAGAGGAAAGTTTCTAGATCTGTGCCACAAATTTCCAGGGTCTTAGCATCCTCCTCAGGATCTGCCGTGTGGATATCTGAGGCCCTACAGACTCCCTCCACTCAAGATTAATTGTGCTTCTGCCGTGTTCCAGACAAAACCTCAACAAGTCCTCAAGGGGCAAAAAACCACAAGTCCTGTGATTTATGGAGCGAAAACTGACGCACGTACACTGCTGTGTGACATGTGTTAAGGGGAGCGGAAGAACAAAGCATGCCAATTATGAACAGCAAAGCGGGGAGGGGATCGCACACGAAGCTTTTGTACCAGCGGAAATCAAAGTGAAAACAAATATTCCCGCAGATGTCGCTGCTGTCCCTGCTCACTTCCCTTAGGTATTAATCTTCCCAGCGGGGAACAAAGATGTGAAGTGTAATCATCCCCGTAATAGGAATTATTAGCTATTTATCTCTGTTGAAGCCCGCCAAGATGTATAAATGGTTTTCCTGTCGCCATGGTTATTTATTAAACCACTTCACAGGAGGAAAGGCAGAGACAAATTAGAGCTGTCATATTTGGGGAAGTCTCTTTCTCTCTCACACACGCACACATACACACACACAGACACTCCCCAACGGTTGATTAAGTACCAGAGAATTGGAGTTTGTCAAGTGAGCAGGTGTCAAAGCATCTTTCGCTGTGCAAATACAGCAGGTACGTTGCCCCAGCCTGGTGGGGGTAAAAGACAAAATGGCCGCAGCCAAAAGAGTTCCTCACAGTTAA